TAGCTGTGTCGGCCATCTTTACATGAGTAAATGATTACTTTCTGCAAGTTTCATTCAAATCTGGTTTGTGACATATTTTTCTAACGGTTGAGGCTAAAACCTCTAGCCTTTGCCGTCAGCAGCAGGTGACGGTGATGGCTTCTTCTGCTCTGCATGTTAACCTGTTCTCATGATGCGTGGATGTTTATGATGGTTAATTTGTCAACTTTAGGATGTTGTTGTTTTGGTTTATCTTTGTTTTATCTGCTCACAATGTTTTTCTCCATCAGCTGAAGAGCAGAAAATTAGGCCCATTTGACCGAGGCGTGGTTCTGTGTCCAGACTCACCCACTTTAATCAACGTCCATTTATTGTTTATTATTTACTGCCCACCTCCATGAATGGTGGGCTGTCATGTAATCTCTGTGTGCACGTGTTTGTTTGGTCACAAACACGAACTCTGCTTTTACTGAAACGCTCAGAAAGTAATCCTCGGATGTACGTCTACAAATGATTCACTTTTAGAGTCAAACGGGTTGAGGATGGCTGCTGCAACTAATCAGCGTTAGTCAACACAAAACAGCTGCAGTTCAGTCACTTTTACAGTTATTTAGCTAGAACATAGTGTGGTAGTAGCTGAGAGTCATCCACCACGCATCACACTCTGTGCATGACGTCTCGTGATGTACCATGAGATTTATTATCATGGTTTCATTTAAATGGCCCCAGCTCTCTACATAAGATCAGAGTCAGAGTTTCTTTATTGTCATACACAACACATGTGTTACTTTGTACATATGGTGGAATGAGATTGTGTACACAGGGTCCCAGTTACATCCCACAATAAAATGTAAAAGAAAAACAACGATAACATCTAAGATATGAACTAAGAAAAACATCAACTAAATATACACTAAGCAGTAGCACTAATAGCATAAAAACAATATACCAAAAAATCCTGATGCATGCTCAATAATCCAGGTAGAAAAATCTAAAAAAGTTAAATCTGGTCCTCTGGACTGGTTCATCCCAAAGATCCAGTCCCCCGGCACAAACAGAGTAATGTCGTGTATGCTGTTCAGTGTCAGGAGGGCTGTGATCAGTCTTACATCGGGGAAACTAAACAGCCACTGGCCAAAAGGATGGCCCAGCACAGAAGATCAACATCATCAGGCCAGGACTCTGCGGTCTACACTCATCTCCAGGCCAGCGGTCACTCTTTCAAGGATGAAGATGTTCACATCCTGGATAGAGAGGAACAATGGTTTGAGAGAGGAGTAAAGGAGGCCATCTTTGTGAAAAGAAACCGTCCATCATTAAACAGGGGTGGAGGCCTCCGTGTTCAATTGTCCCCCTCTTACAATGCTGTGATTGCTAGTATCACTCAGCCCTCTGTGAATAGTAAACAGCCATCAGTGTGCTAATGATCCATTGTTAGGCTGATGGTCCTTCTTGAGCATGTGATCAGTTGCTTTTGGTTGTCAGCAGCAAAACTGGTTGATCCACTCTGAGAAGGTGCTATTTAAGAGACTGAGCTGAATACAGCTCCTCAGACTGAAGAAGTCTCTCGGACGAGAGACGAAACGTTTCTACATTTTTTGTTGTTTTGCTTTGTTTTGGGTTTTTTTGAATGTCCAGAGGACCAGATTTAACTTTTTTAGAATATACCAAAAAGCAGCACGAACATGAGTCTGTGTGAGTAGATGAGCACGAATGAACACATCAGCATGAAACAGATCAGCAGCAACATGAAACAGATCAGCAGCAACATGAAACAGATCAGCAGCAACATGAAACAGATCAACAGCAATATGAAACAGATAAGCAGCAACATGAAATGGATCAGCAGCAACATGAAACAGATCAGCAGCAACATGATGTGATTTTTCACAGTGATTGTACTTGTTAGAGTTTCATGAGTCTAACAGCCTCAGGGTAGAAGCTGTTCCTCAGTCCCGTGCAGTCCTTCTCAAAAAGTGGGGCACAGAAGTAATGTTTAATACATGTTAGGACTCTATTCTTTGTTAACAAGTCCTCCGTTCTGGATGCATTTCACCCACAGCGCGCAGCAACAAAGAGTATAAACTCAAAGCGAGAGCGACACCTGCCCACTCTTTCGCGTTGACAACATTTTTTTGTTTTATCGATTGTCAAAGCACAAGTTTTATGTTTTTTTTTTTAAATTTGTTATAAAAACAGATGTTTAACAAATGTTAGGACTCTATTCTTTGCTAACAAAATATATTTTATGCCAATAAACAACTTGTCAGGTTCTTCTCTTGTGAGTGCGTTCCCTTCTTGTTGTTTTAGAGGTGATGATGTAGAGATGTTGTGCAGAGGTGTACTTATAACAATTTTTTAGACAAATTATACTATTTACAGTCGCGGCGGAGAGTTGGATGTGGCGCGAAATGTTTACTTCTTCCTGGGGGGGGGGGGGGGGGGGACCAAAAATAATTGAGAAGCACTGGTCTAGTGGTGCAGCACGGTGGCGCAACTGGTAGAGCTGCTGCCTCTCAGCGATCAGGTCCCTGGTTCAAACCCCGGTCCAGGGGCCTTTCTGGGTGGAGTTTGCATGTTCTCTCCGTGCATGCGTGGGTTTTCTCCGGGTACTCCGGTTTCCTCCCACAGTCCAAAAACATGCATGTTAGGCTGATTGGGAACTAAATTGTCCCTAGGTGTGAGTGAGAGAGTGAATGGTTGTTTGTCTCGTTTGTCTCTATGTGGCCCTGTGATGGACTTGCGACCCATCCCGGGTGTACCCCGCCCCTCGCACAGTGATTGCTGGACATGGGCACCGGCGACCCCTGTGACCCAAAATGGAATAAGCGGGTAAAGATAATGGATGGATGGATGGTCTAGTGGTTCTACACTTAAGGCTCCTCAACCTCCTGCCTGAGGGGAGTGGGGCAAAAATTGTGTGCTGGATGGGTGGGGTCCTTCATGATGCAGGTGTCCCTCTTCCTGCATCTGGAGGTGTAGATGTCTGTGATGGGGGGAGACTGACTCCATCAGACTTCTGTGCAGCCTTCTCCACACTCTGCAAAGCTTTTCTTTTCTAAGATGCTCTTAGTCTAAATTTCTTGCATGAAAGCAGCAAGGTCCTGGAGAACCAGTGTGTCCAGCTGAGACTCACGCTGTGGGGTACGTCATGGATTCGTGGGGAGTGTGGCAGACGATGTGTCTCTCAGTTCTGTCTCAAGAGGATGTTGAAGACGTTTATATATTTGGAATTATGATAGCAGGGACTCTGCTTTTTGGCATCAGCGGGGCTCTGTTTTATCGACTTTTGAAGCAGACGGCGGCAGCAGTTTCGACCGTGGTAAAGCTTCTGAGTCTGTGTGAAGGTCTGGTCCTCACTGTGGGAACTTTGAATCGTCTAGTTTACGAGCTTAACCGTAAGGTGGAGGCGATTGAGAATCGCAGGCCACCTGCGGCTTCTGGGACTCGTCAGCATGGTGGGTTTGACCTTGAGGGAGACTCATAGCATAGATCAGTGGAATGGAATCCCACAATTAGGCATTTTCGGAACCAGAACGCCCAGATGGACTCGAGGCTGAAGAAAAAAGTAATCTGTCTGCCTGAAGAAAATCAACAATCAAAGCATATCTGAATCTGACTCCCGACGGCCTCGGAGACGGGCCGGCTATCAATTTCTCCTGGGACATGAGAACCCAAGGACAAAAGCTTCATCTATCACATGCAAACACCCCCCCCCCCCCACAAGAACTTTCTATGCAAGCTTATCAGAACTGCTGGCTGGAACAACATCTTCAGAAACTGTGGCTGATCTGAAAAAACGCTCATGGACAAATCTCAACACCTCAATGTCAAATGCAAATGTAATCATGTTTTAATTGTGTTGCTGGTAGAGTTTTTTTGATGTCTCAAATCGTGTCCTGATAGACAAGATGTGAAAGATCTTTTTTTGTTATACCACTATCTACCCTCATGTTTCTACCCCTTTTCCTATCTAAGATTATTATCTGACAAGGATAAAATGGCCGCGCTTTCTACAGTTGCAGCTTCATGCACTCCGCCCATCTTTCGGACTACTGTACGTACATATTCGCGTTGTACCTCGGTGATATTCCAATAAAGTTTTTATTCTGAAAGGCGGCAGGTGGCATGCATTATTTCAATGAAGGCTTGGCTGTTGAGCTTACAGGTGTTTACAGGTGTTTAAAAGTGTTTACATGTGTTTAAAGGTGTTTACAGGTGTGATGTTAGGGCGTTGTTGGTCTAAATCAACATGTTTCACAAATGTCACATGGTATTCACATGAAGAAGTAAATGATTTCCACATGGAAAGTTCATGTTTTTTTTTTTTTTTTTTACCATCTCAGTCTTTATGGCACTTTGTTGATTACAAATCAGTTCTTTTAGTTTTTAAAAATATACATTTTATAGAGCAGCATGGTGGCACAACTGGTAGAGCTGCTGCCTCTCAGTGAGCAGGTTACCCTGGTTCAAATCCCAGTCCAGGGGGCTTTCTGGGTGCAGTTTGCATGTTTTCTCCGTGCATGCGTAGATTTTCCCAGAGTACTCCAGTTTCTTCCCACAGCTGTTAGGCTGATTGGTAACTGTTGTCCCTAGGTGTGAATGAGAGAGTGAATGGTTGTTTGTCTCTATGTGTCCCTGTGATGGACTTGCGACCTGTCCAAGGTGTACCCCGTCCCTCGTACAGTGATTGCTGGATATGGGCACTGGCGACCCCTGTGACCCAAAATGGAAGAAGTGGGTAAAGATAATGGATGGATGGATATTTTATAGACACTATTTGCAAAAATTTAAAAATAATAGTAATATTAAAAGTTCTGATGGACTACATCAAATAGTGCAGTTTGAAACAGCTCACTTCATTCAGGTTTTTCGAGGTGTGCTTATGAAATGTGGGTACACACTCCATGTAAACAAAGCACTACCTTGAACTAACTTGGGAATTTGTTTCCTACTTCATTTTGTTTTTTGTCCCTGACTTGGCAGTGAGTAGCTTTAACGGGAGGTAAAGTCCCACTCACCATGACGGAGTACACCAGGGCCACGATGCTGATGGGCCAAACGGGGCAGAAGCAGGACAAGATGACCAGGATCAGGTAGTCTTGGGGCTTAGGAGTCTCCTGGATGGCGGCGTTCCCGGTGGAGGAGCGGCTCAGGCTGGCCTTGGATGGGGAGAGCGGAGCAGAGGCGGCCAGCTGCCCCACAGAGCCCGACCTCAGGGCCACGCCGTGGCCGTTCTGATCGGCCTCCAGGGCCTTGTCGCTGCCGGGGGCCACGGTGAAGGAGGTGGACATCCTCACACCATTTCCCCCAGGCTCGGTGGTCACCGCCAGGAGCTTCTCTGTCTCCTGGAAGTCTGCGGGCTGAGGACCTCCTCCACCCTCACCACTCAGGTTGGACTTCAGGAAGTCGGTGTCCGTGTTGATGGCCATTTTTGACTCTCTGTTATGTCAAGAAGTAGAACAAGTTATTTGTAAAAACTAATTTAAATCTGATTGTAGGGTAGATGGTGTCGATGTGCCATAATACAGATAAACACAAGGTTTTACAATTAATCTAACTTTAATGGGAGAGTCTGTCTTTTTGTCCTGTGGTGGAATATTAATAGTAAATAAATGAATCAGATGAGAGCACAACGATTGTCCCAGATGTTATCACTCATCCTCCTGAGTCTCTGCTGCTTCCTTAATGTCCTTTCTTGGAGTAATTTCCAAGGCGGCTCAGATGAGACTAAATGAGATAAATTCACTCAGCTCCTGCTTCCATCCAATCGTTTGTCCAAAAAGTCACTCAAAGATTTTTTTCTTCCCTTTGAAAAGAAAAAGAGACGAAGGAGACGCGTTTGTCTCACAGCAGACACCCCCAGTGGTTCACTGTCCTCTGCTGTCTTCACCGCAGAGCCTCTCCACTCTACTTGGGACATCTGTCCAGCTGCTCCATTTAAACAGAGCACTTCCAGTCAGCAGCTTCAAAATAAAAGCTTCAGTTATAAAATCAAGGAGCAACATGTTTTATTTTCAAACCCAGAACCTCGTTTGACTCACGTGAAATCAAACAGTTCCTGTTGAAGTTACACAATATCAAATAATGAATCATGATCAGGATGTAAACAGGTTGAATGAATGAATAAATCTGTAATGCAATATCAGTATCAACAGTCTGCTGGAAGATAACCTGTGGAGCAACTGGATCTGATGATCAGGTGGACCGATGAGGTTCAGCAGCCTCAGGAGATCCACGTTTGCAACATAGATGTTGTCCGGCGGAGAAAACTGACAGAAACCGAACAAAGAGCTGATCTATAGGTCTGAAAATGACTTCAAAGGGGCCCTCGTTTGACTAGTCATTACCCACCCTGGAGGAAGATTTCTGACCTTTTCTTCACACTCTGAAGTTATAAGGCAGGGCTATTCAAGTGGAGGCCTGGGGGCCAAATCAGGCCCATGGGTGAGCTCAGTTCAGCCCAACAATGGGTTCATATTTAAATAAAAGTAGATTTAAAACCGTAAAACAAACTTATTTAATGACAATAACTGCTGGATGGCCGGCCCCTGAGCTCTTGGCTTCCAGTAACTGTGGCCCCCTGAGCAGTTTAACTGAATTGCCAAGTTATAAGGTCACAGTTCATAGAGGTGCTAAAACTGCGGATGAGTTTAGAAATCACTATCCCTATCTGGCCAATCAGATGGAGTCGTTCTGCCCTAAATGCATTTTTTAAAACATGCAGAGTTTTGTGTTGGCAGAACAGAAAGAGAGGGCTGAAGAAAGACTGGGCAACATTGCAGTCAACACAAAACAACAACATGAAAAACACTTTTTATGGCAGGCCTGTAAAATAATCATTTATTTGTACGCTGATGAACCACGTCCCAGTAGACAGCTTCTGTAGCTGAGGATCAGACCGCCAGGGTCCCCGACCTCGGCCACCACCGATCCCACATTGCACCTGACCCCCCTGGCCCCTCCCACAGGTGGTGAGCCCATGAGAAAGGGGACCCACTTCTCCTCTTCAGGCTGTGTTTTCGGGCCGGGCTCCATGGGTACAAGAACGGATACCAGGTGCTCGCCAGCGTACCCCACCTCCAGGTCTGGCTCTAGAGTGGAGCCCCGCTGACCCACGTTCGGGCGAGGGAACAGTTTCCATCCATTTTTCTCATCATAAGGGTTCTCTGGGCTGCACTTTGTCGAGAGGAGCCAGTTGAGGTGGCTCAGGCATCTGGTTAGGATGCCTCCTTGACGCCTCCCTGGTGAGGTGTTCCAGACACGTCCCACTGGGAGGAGACCCAGAGGAAGACCCAGGACACGCTGGAGGGACATGTTTCTCAGCTGGCCTGGGAACGCCTTGGGGTACCCCTGGAGGAGCTGGTCCAAGTGGCTGGGGAGAGGGAAGTCTGGGCCTCCCTACTTAAGCTGCTACCCCCACGACCTGACCCTGGATAAGCGCAAGAGAATGGATGGATGGATGGATGGATGGATGAACCTTTGTCATTTAAAGATGAGAATCAGGTCCACAAGCTCATTATGTAGAAACAGACGCCAACTTTTACAGGAACTTAGTAAAATTATTTATTTATTAAGTTATAATATATAAAAATTATTAATAATAAAAAATAGTATTATTAATTTGCTAAATCATGTGATGTTTATGGATTATACCTATTACAAAGTAGGAAAGTATAGAAAAATAAAATAAAAAATAAAATATGAAGCACTCATTCTACATAATACAAGCTAATAATAATAATAATAATAATAATAATAATAATAATAATAAAATGGGAAATCAAATTTTATTTGTGATCTAAAGCATTCAACAAGAAATTTGAGTTTTATAAGAATGTTGTAAGTTGTTTTTAATAAATTTTCATCTAATGAAATATAATAAAATAATATAAAAGCAGAGTATAAATTAGCTGCATGAGTTGAACAGTTGTGTTGCTCGTGCTTTTGTTTTGAATGTTTTACTGTCATGTTTCCGGTGATAGTATAGTTATTTTGTCCAGCTTGTTGGGAGGAGGGCTGTGTACCCCTTTCCTCCTCCTCCTCCTCCTCCTGCTCCTCCCCCTCCTCCCAGCATCAGCACCAGTGGTTTATGGAAGGGGGCCAGCAGCAGATTGTGCTGCTTTGCAGTTTTTGCAGCTCCTCAGTTGTTGTGGTCCAGCTCAGCCCCGCACCATCAGTCTGAAGCTGATCTTCTGAGTTGTGCACGTGCACAGCAGGTTGTTGAACGTGGAAACCAAGTTTCTGTTTGGATAAACTGCCTCTGCTCTCTGGCATGGTTCTAATTAAATCTCTGTTTGACTCTCTGCTCAGCTATAAATTAATTAATGTGATCCTCTTTTTTTTCCCCAAGTGTTGCTGTTGATTTTCCTCATTAGCATCAGCCATATTTCCCAGGATGCAACACTCCTCCCGGACCTGTGGAGGTGGATGTGTGTGTGTGTGTGTGTGTGTCAGGAGGACTGAGATGCTCCTGAGCTGAGAGGAGAAGACAGGAGGCAACAAAAGGTGTTTTCTCTGATCAGACTCATTTTAAAGATCCCAGCTGACACTCAGGACAGAGATGAAGGTAAATCTGGAGAAAAGGCGCCCCCTGGTGGTTAAACAAACACATGCGCAAAACCAAGACCCGGATTTTATTTTATTTTTTTCTGGTTTCTTCTTCATGACAGGTGAATAAATGCCATGTTTTAAACACAGAAATCCTCCAATAAATGAGCTTTATGAGACAAGACAAAAATCAATTCACTGCATTACAACAGCGTTGCTTTAAGAAGTTTGGACACTGTGAAAAATGTTATGGGAATTATTTTAATGCTCTATTGTTTCAGCTAGATCTCTAAAATAAAGAAAGATGAAAGTGGACTAACGTTTTCTCCCCGTTTGTGTGTGTGCCTGTTTGTTAGCAAAATATCTCCCAGACCTCTGGTTGGATTTTAGTGAAACTCCGAAAGCAATAACTGGATGCATGTCTACAGCTGATCGACTATACGCAGTGGTTCCCAACCGTGGTCCTTGAGGAACACCATCCTGCATGCTTTAATTGTTTCCCTGCTCCAACACACCCGATTCAGTGACTGAATTACTTCATCAGGGTTTGCAGAAGCCTGTTGGTCACCCATTCATTCAAATCAGGTGTGTCAAAGTGGGGGAACAACTAAAACATGCAGGATTCATTCATTCAACCTTTATTTAGACAGGTAAATCCCATGGAGTTCCTCAAGGATCAGGGTTGGGAACCACTGGACTATAGGAGTCAGTTCAATTTAGCATGGCTGCTAGTGACAAGCAGCTTTAGAAAACACATATATGGCTTTAATTCAGTCATGTTTTATGTGTGTGGTAGTAGCTGAGAGTGATTGCCAACACTAGTTTGAGCACAATATCTTTTTTAACATGTTGTCTTGTCATGATTAGTATCAACTTTGTCTTCACGTTTGCAGATGTATCTCATAAACTACTGGATGAATTTAAATGAAACTTTCAGGAAACAGTCAGTGGATGCTACAAATTATTAAACGTTGGTGCTGCTAACCTAGTTTAATATGGCCGACACAGCCAGCTCACCGTAGACCAAATAAACATGGCCACAGCTCAGTCAGATGTGCAGATATTAAGCTCAAACTTGGTGTAGTTGTAGTGGAGTGTCATTCACAAAAACTACTCCAAGTGCTTCTCATTGCACAAACTCTTTGCTTAATATATTCTCTAACTGTTAGAGTCAACCCTGTCTGTCAGCAAAATAACTCATGAGCCACTGGATGGAGTTCATTCAAACTTCAATAAATGTAATTATTGGCTGTATGGCTACAACTGATTATCTTTCAGTTCAGCTTACAGATAATCCACATTAGCTAACACAAAACGACTACAACTCAGCCGATTTTATGGATATTGTGTTAAAACTTGGTGTAGTTGTAGATGAGGGTCATTTACAACATGTCCGGTCCAAGCGCTTCTCATAATGTTGCATGAACGGTGGCGGGCGACATGCATTCCTTCAAATAACGATGGGTCTTAACTTTACAAATATCTGACAACAAATGTTTTGGAGGTAAAAAGAAGGAGGCGTTTCTGGAAGTTACACGTTTACACATGAAATTTTTATTTCATCAGAGACACTCGCTCCTACATCATCAGATCACAGAGCGGGTGACGATGTAACTCCTCTGCAAGTCGGACACGTTTAAAACATGCCTTTATACTTGTTCTTGTCCTCCTGGTTCTTCTCTTCCATGCGCATGCTGAGGACCGCCAGTTCCTTTGTGACTGCCTTCTTCATGCCGGGGTCCAGGTCCAGGACCTTGGTGAAGTCCTGCCGAGCCTCGGCCTCGTTCCACACCTCCTTGTGGGCCTTCCCTCTCAGGTAGTATGCCTTTGCCACACCTGGAGCACAAACGACACCCGTCTGACAGCAGCTGTTACTGGTGACTGGACAACAAGCCAAACCACTGACACACCTGGGTGCTGGTTGATGATGTCCGTGGTGTGCTCGATGGCCTCGTAGTATTCCTCCATGCGCAGGAGACACTGACAGTAGTTAAGAGTTAAAGTGTTCGCCATCTTCTCCAGCTTCAGCCATGGGACGTCCCACGCTTTCTCCTGCAGAGGAAACCACAGAAGGTTCATGTCTCCACACTGGACGTTCTGTTTACAAAAGGCAGCTAAGTAAAATCTTAGACTTGCTAACCTTCGTCTGGACGTTCTTGATGCAGATGAGGGCTTCCTTGTATTTCTGTGTGGCCTCTTGGTAGCGTCCCTGTTTGAAAAGTTTGTTTCCCTGGCCGTGGAGCACAGGAACCACCTTCAGCCTCTCCTCGTCGTTCAGAGCCCACGATTCCCTGTTGTACTCGCAGGGCTGCTGCACCTAACAGACCACACGTCCTGGACAGTTAGTCTTTCAGGTGTCCAGAAGAAGTCATGAACTGAGAACGACAGTTTCATGAGCTGCAGCTTCACTTCTTGTTTTAGGCTCGCAGGTAATAACTGCTAAAATAAAGTTTCTGCTAGATGTCAAAGTTCATGTTCAATAATTCAGGTAAAAATCCATCAAAGTTCAGTCAGGTCGTCTGGACGTTTTTTTTTAATGCTTTATCCTTCATCTAAAGGACTTCATCAGTCCAAAGAGCCACAACAAACTCAGTCCCATTAGCGGCTTACTCACATAGTGGACAAACCAGTTTGATGGTGATAAGATGGTTTCTGGAGTCCGCCCTCTCCCCTGTCAACTCCTCAGAGGCAGCCATAGACAACGTGGTTCAGAACATCAAAGTTATCATCCAGAGGACCTGACTGAACTTTGTTTGGTTTTTAACCTGGATGATTGAGCATGAACTTTGATGTTTTGAACCACTTTGACCATGGCTGCCTCAGAGGAGTCGACTGGGGAGAGGGTGGACTCCAGAAACCAGCTTATCACCAGCAAACTGGTTGGTCCACTATGTGAGGAAGCCACTAATGGGACTGAGTTTGTTATTGCTCCTGGGACTGATGAAGTCCTTTGGATGAAGGACGAAACATCTCAACATGAAGAAACCGTCCAGAGGACCTGACTGAACTTTGTTGGGTTTCTGTTAGATCCACGTTTCTTTTTTTCCTTCTCACCCTGAGCAGCTCCAGTACGAAGTAGAGCGGCTTTGGCTCCTTCATCAGCTCGTCCAGGTCTTCGTAACCAAGGCTGTGGTATGCAAACATGTTGGCCATGCCACACGTGTGAACCTGCCACTCCAGCGGATCCTTGCCCTCTGCGATGCGCCGCATACTCTTGGACACAAGTGGATAAACCCCCGTGTGCTGAGGGGACCAAGAGACGGCACTCAGTTTCTTAGAATGTGGAAGGAAAGACAAAAGTCTTGCCCAGTGTCTTCACTTTTATCATCAGCTTTGCTATTTCTGAATGTTTCACTGAAACGTTTGGCAATCAGCCGCTGGCGATTGATTGGCTAACAGGCAAGAGTTTGTTTAGTGATGAAGAAAAAGTGATTCTGTTGTTACTTTTAATTACAGATTCAAATTTAGCTGCTGAATAAGAGCTCTTTCCAGCTAGCGTTAGCTGTTTCCTGCTGCAGTGTGTTCCCACAGCTAAGTGACAGTGCACAAAATGTTCATTAGAGTGTGCAGAGCTATAATGGTATTTAGAGTTAAAAAAAAATGCTCTGAGCCCCATCAGATCTAATCAGAGTGGAGGGGAGTCATGGTGCAGACTCAGCAGAAGTACGAGCTGATTACAGGAGAGAGAGAGACAGCTGTGGATTAACGACAGCCCGTCTGCCTGCGATGGAGCGCAACATACACTTCAAAACACACCGCAACAAAATGACAGAGCATGTTGAGTTTATGATCTGCCGTCTCTGGCTTCTACTACGTATCTGTGGTTGAGTTGAGGAGGCAACGGGTCCTACACCTTCCTCTCCCCAGCGACATGCTAGATCCTCCTGAGGGACCCCCAAGGGGTTCGGAGACCAGAGAGGACATACAATCCCCCCACTAAGTTCTGGTTATGCCCCATGTCTCTTCCTAGAGAGAAATGCCTAGAAAACCTCCAAAGGGAGGCATCCTGATCAGATGCCAGAACACCTCATCTGACTCCTCTCAATGCAGAGGAGCAGCGGCTCTACTCCGAGCTCCCCCAGATGATGGAGCTCCTCGCTCGTTCGCTAAAGCTGAGCCTGAACACCCTACAGTGGAAGCTCATTTCAGCAGCTTGTATCCAGGATCTCGTGCTTTTGGTTCAAACCTCAGACCAGCAACAGGTGAGGGTTGGGACAAAGACCGACTCAGCACTTTATTCACCATGACTGACAGAAGCAACACCGTTATTACTGAGGAAGAGGCCCCAATCTATCGATTTATCTCCTGCTCCATCCTACCATCACTAGTGAGCAAGATACATACACCCCCCCCCGCCCCCAACCCCACCACCGGCAAAGACCCCTCCGCCCCCGACCAGGAGGGACATTCCACCCGTCTTTAGAATTTGAATCTAAACTGTGTGTTTATAAATCATAGAAATGTCCTGAACAGGTATGAAAAATGAATTAATTCTGAAATTAAATATTTATAGAAGATTATCAGTCTCATCCAGAAGGACTTGGTGTTTGATTTTACTTTTATAAAATATTTTATGAAAGATGAGAAAATACATAACAATATGAATTTCATGTGGGCAGCACGGTGGCGCAACTGGTAGAGCTGCTGCCTCTCAGCGAGCAGGTCCTTGGTTCAAACCCCGGTCCAGGGGCCTTTCTGGGTGGAGTTTGCATGTTCTCTCCGTGCATGCGTGGGTTTTCTCTGGGTACTCCGGTTTCCTCCCCCAGCCCAAAAACATGCATGTTAGGCTGATTGGTAACTCTAAATTGTCCCTAGGTGTGAGTGAGAGAGTGAATGGTTGTTTGTCTCGTTTATCTCTATGTGTCCCCGTGATGGACTTGTGACCTGTCCAGGGTGTACCCCGTCCCTCGCACAGTGATTGCTGGACATGGGCACCGGCGACCCCCGTGACTCAAAATGGAATAAGCGGGTAAAGAAAATGGATGGATGGATGAATTTCATGTCTGGTTTTGATTACTATCATCATTTTTTATGGCTACCATTTTAAAGCAACAAATCAGATTATTATTTTTTTTTTAAGTGAGGTTTTGTGGCAAGATTATGAACAATTATTATCTTACCTGTTGTATGTAACTCTTTGAACAACTTCAGTTTGGAATTCCATCCATCCATCCATTTTCTTTACCCGTTTATTCCATTTTGGGTCACGGGGGTCGCTGGTGCCCATGTCCAGCAATCACTGTGCAAGGGGCGGGGTACACCCTGGACAGGTCTCCAGTCCATCACAGGGCCACATAGAGACAAACGAGACAAACAACCATTCACTCTCTCACTCACACCTAGGGACAATTTAAAATTACCAATCAGCCTAACATGCATGTTTTTGGTCTGTGGGAGGAAACCGGAGTACCCGGAGAAAACCCACGCATGCACGGAGAGAACATACAAACTCCACCCAGAAAGGCCCCTGGACCGGGGTTTGAACCAGGGACCTGCTCGCTGAGAGGCAGCAGCTCTACCAGTTGCGCCACCGTGCTGCCAGTTTGGAATTAAAAAAGTTTATTTTTTTACCAGACTGACAAGTTAACAACCAGTCTGTGTGTGCCCATGACCAGAACAAGTTACTGTTGTCACAAAAACAGGTCGAGGCTTAAAATAACTGCAGTGAACTGCAGCTAGCTGTAGCACATCTGGAGCTTCCAGCAGGAATATCAACATTTGTTGTTGTAGCAAAAACCACGTACTGTTAAATTATCAGTAACATAAAAGCCTTTAAATTAGAATTTGCATAAACTAGGATGAACATTTTAAAGCTGAAGTTGTTTTAAGACGACAGCAGTCCACCCAGGTCCTGGCCTGACTCGACCAGCTGCTAGCTTGTCAATCGAGTCAGATTTATACTCTCTTTTTCCAAATGGAGGTGGTTGATAGGGCTATCTAGAACAGGTAGAGCTGTCATTTCTAACCCCAACCCGGAGCCAGCCCTGCCCGACACGGATTCGGACTGGGCCAGGCCAAAATAATGTGCTTAATGCGCGGGCCAGGTCAGTGTCTGGTTTTTGATTGTGTCAGCTGACATGTGCAGCCAACGATCCAATTATATGCCAACATGACTTGCCATACATTCACCACACGTGGACATTTGGCCACGCGCTGACTGGCTGGCTGAAAGTAGAGTTGTATTCGGGTCCAAATAATCCGACCCGACCTGGCTCCAGCCCGCAGCCATCATCTCCGAACACCACCCGATCCAAAGAATTAACAATAATTACACGTCCAAAACCGCCCCCCCCCCCCCCGACATTTTTAATTAAGCTTTGATCGCTTATACCACCGACCATTATTAATGGTTGATGGATGCGTGCGGCTCAGGGGTCATAAGATCGGAGCTGAGGAGCCGTCAAAGCGCATTAAATGCTCCCCCTGCATCCTGCTCTGACCTGCCGGCTATTTTGGGATCTCACCTGTTTGGGTCTCGACCGTGCGCATCCGCTGACTGCAGCCGCTGAATGAACGTCTATTTGGGCTGATGGGTCGCTGGCAGTAGCCTATCTGAAGCTTAAATGAACTTTATACCTCTTTCAAAGATGGTCAGCGTGCGGTCAAATGGCCGTGTGCAGCTGGTGTGGTATGGCAAGCCATGTTGACATATAATTGAATCATCAGCCGCGCACGTCCCTGACACAATAAAAAGCCTGACACCGACCCGGCCGGCACATTAAGCACATTATTACGGCCCGGCCGGGTCTGAATCCGGGTCAGGTGGAGCTGGGCTCCGGGTTTGGGTTAGACCGCTCTAAATGAAAGAGGCAAATAGTTCAGCTAAGTTCAGTTGGACCTCTGCCAGCGATCCATCAGCCCAAATGGACGTTCATTCAGCCGCTGCACTCAGCGGACATGTGCGGCCAACGACCCAAACAGGTGAGATCACAAAATATCCAACATGTCAGAGCAGGGTTAAATGCAGGCAGAAGCAGAGCAAGCATTTAATGCGCTTTGAGGGCTCCTCAGCTCCAATTTTCTGCCCCTTTACTCAGCTGTGTGTGTCCGCCAACCGTTAATAATAGTTGGTGGTATAAGCAGTCAAAGCTTAATTAAAAATGTCGGGGTTTTTTTTTGTTTGTTTTGTTTCGGACCTATAATTACTGTTAATTCGTTGGATCGTGTGGGGTTCAGAGATAATGGCTATGGGCCGGGTCGGGTCGGATGTTTTGGACCCGAGTGCAACTCTAACAACAGGTAAGATATCAAAAAGCTTTGTCTAAAAACTCACTCTGAAAGACCTAAACTGTCCCTTTAGGACATGTGCACCTAAACTCCACAGATTGTTACAAAACAGTGAAACAGTTTTAGAAGTAATGAATCTGGTGTTTTGTTGATTTCAAAATCTCCTCTGTGTCTTTCTGTAACACACAAACGAACATAACCATCCATGGCATCCTCACTCACTATTGTGTCACACCAAAACTCGGCCACCTCTCCAGTCCTCATGGAGGCCAGCAGGGTCTCCCAGACGTCCAACTTAAACATGTTGCCAATAACTATCTCCATGGGCGTCCCCACCGCTCTGCTGTCGTCTATCACCGTGCGTTCTCCATCACACAGCTGGGTGCGGAAGTGAAACGTCACCTGGGGCCACAGATAGGACCAAGAACGTTGAGAGAGGAACCATGTAAGACATTAATGTGGGAAAGAGTCTGAAGGTTTTGCATCAACAAAAGACGTTTCATTGGGCACAAGAAGATTGAGCCAGAAGAGATGGAACAGCAAAAATTACTCAACCAAAGGAAATTTCACAGATGAAATAAAAATAAGTTCTATGTTTAACAATCTTTGCAAACCAAAACTGTAAATGTTGCACCAAAGTTCATGCACAATAATGTCCAGATGACCTGACTGAACATTGTTGGATGTAAATGTTACACTTCTCACACGTGTTCACTCTCTCCCTTTAGTGGCGTTCAGTTGGAACTGCACCTTGTCCAAAGCCTTTTCAAGAGTTTAAGGACAACCGCACGGTAGAAAAATCACAAATACTACAAGTTTTACTATTTATATGGAGTCTGAAGAGAGTTATTTGGAAGGAAACACTAAAACAGAACTTCCAAACTTAAGACACATAGAAAACGTAGCAATTTTGCTGCTTAAGACGATATTTTGCCATCAGTCTTATCTTTGTATATTGCCATCATGTCTCTAGTTACACAATACTGAAATGCATTCTGCTAAAGTTAGTATCCCTGTTTTGTTTTGCTGCTGCTATAAGATTAAGAATATTTTAATTAAGTTGGTTTGCGTCGCTTTAATTCATTTTCATTTGTCTTGTGGGTTTTAATTGATTTATTTTTTTACTGCAAAATGGTCCCGAATGGATCCTAATAAGTTGAACAAACTGATTATTTTGCACAGCATGAGGCTAAGTTTCTGGTAAACCTAGTTGGATTCTTAATGAAACTGTGGGTAAAATCTATGACAAATGTATTAAAGTGTTTGCAGCGGTCTGAGGATCTACAGTACCTTCGTCCCAGTGATGAATTTAGGGATGTCTCCAGTTCCTCCGTGTAGAATAGTCTTCTTAATTCCCTCTGATCCAAGTAGCATTGCATCTCTCATGTCTGACATCTTTAATTCTTTTTGTTTTTTAATTAGGTGTATGATACGTGAAGTAAAACACGTGTAAAGCTGTGTGGATGACCAGGAGGTGTTGACTGAAGTGGATTAGTTTAGGTCGAGATAATGAGATTAGAAACTTCTCTTCTTCTTTTGTTCCGTCATCTCTCTGATGCTCCTTGTGTTGGAGTTTGAGCTCCAGCTCATGAGCGTTCATCACCCTGAGCTTCATAAACTTTCAGGAAACCTCCAGAAAGAGGCAGAAGATGGGCGGTAGTGCACGAAAGTTAAAAATTGATTTGATTAAAAAACACAAAATGTCAAAAACTTGGTAATTTTTACACATACTGACCTAAAATTGGGTATGGTAGTAGCTGAGACTGATCCCCAACACTTGTTTTAATAATAATAATAATAATAATAATAATTATTATTATTCATTCCATTTATAGGGCACTTTATGTTGTCAATATTCAATTTTGTTTTTGGAACAGCCAAAAGCAGTTGATCGGATGATCTCAGAGCCTGAGAGGGAACATATGGTTCCAGTAGCTCAGAGAGATAAAGGGTTGCAAGGCCATCTAGTCACTTATAGGTCAACAGGAGAATTTTTAAATCAATTCTGGTATGTATAGGGAGCCAGTGAAGGGAGGACAGAACTGGAGTAATATGCTCAAACCTACAAGTTCCAGTTAAAAGATGAGCAGCAGCATTTTGGACGAGCTGGAGATGCGAGATGGAGGCCTGGCTGACCCCAGCTTATGCATTACAGTAGTCCAATCGGGTCGTGATAAAGGCATGGACTAGTTTCTCAAGGTCAGGTCTGGACAACACTGATTTGAGCTTCGATATCTGTCTTAACTGGAAGAAGCTTTTCTGCATAACAGAGTTGATTTGTTTGTCAAACTTAAAGTCAGAGTCTTAAACCATCCTGAGAGTTTTAACAGACTGTTTAAGATATGGCTGAAGGGAGTCAAGGTTTAAATGATCAGAGATGGAGGTTGAGCTAGGGCTAAACACAATTACTTCAGTCTTCTGAGTGTTAAAACTTAAGAAATTTGAGGCCATCCATGCCTTAATGTCGACAAGACATTTTAGGAGAGGGTGAATGGAGCAAACACTTGCTGGTTTCAAAAGCAGATAAATCTGAAAATCATCAGCATAACAATGAAATGAAAGACCATGTTTCCTCAGGATAGACTCAAATGGGAGCAAATAGAGTGAGAACAGAAGCACTGCAAGAATCGAGCCCTGTGGGACCCCGCAGGAAAGAAGCATTAAAGCTTATACATTATTATCAACCTTGACACAAAAACTCCTGTCGCTCACGTATGAGTGGAACCATTCTAATGCAGCACCTGTGACCCCAACCCACTGTTCCAGCCGTGATATAAGGATACTGTGGTCAACAGTATCCAAAGCAGCAGTAAGGTCCAGGAGCACAAGTACCACAAATTGACCGGAATCAGTGAGCCTGCATCTGCTGCCATCAGTTTATCATTGGTGACCTGAATCAAAGCTGTTTCAGTGGCGTGTGAATAACTGATTTGATTTGAGGTGGTCATTTAGCTGCACAGCAACAACTTTCTCCAGAGCCTTTGAGAGGAATGAGAAATTAATGATGGGTCTGCCATTTGTTAGGATTTTCTGAGTCAAATCTGTTTTTTGTAAAGGACTTGCGACCTGTCCAGGGTGTACCCTGCCTCTTACACAGTGATGGCTGGACATGGGTACCAGTGACCCCTGCAATTTTGGTGCAATAACAGTTGAAATGCATTATTGTACACGGTCAGCCGTGGAGTGTTTGTGTCCGAGGTCCAGGTGAACCGTGGAGAAAGCTTGGTGTTTCCTGGGTTACACTGAGTAATGTTTGAATGCCTTTTGGTGCTCCCGGTGGATTTGTTTGTGTAAAGTTAAACCACAGTTTTATGAAAATGAAAAATTGGCACAACATTTTTGTTTTAAATGTTACCAATAAAAATCATACTCCAGATACTAGTACTCGTACAGATACTAATATTTTGTCTGTTAACAAAATATCTTGTGAACCACTGGATAAAGTTATTGAAACGTTTCAAAAACGATCACTCGATATACCTCTACAAAATATTAACTTTTGGGGCCAAACCCCGTTAAGATGGCCGCCATAGCCAACTAACCTAGGAAAATCCCAAAATGGCTTCAATTCAGACAACGTTACAGATATTCTGCTAATTTGTTGTTGTTGTTGTTGGGGGAGTCATTCACAACAAATCCTTCAAGTACCACCCAATGCCTATAAGCTTTACTTAAAACTGTCGGTTTAATTGTTAGAGTCAACCCTGTTCATCTGTTAGCAAAATATCTCACAAACTACTGAACATATATTATTGAAACTGTCAAAAAGTACAACTCATTCGCTTTTAGAGTGAATCCAGTTCAAGACGGTCGCCACAGCTAATCAGAATGATCAAACTCAAACATTGTTCTAAACTAGTCACATTTAAAGACAGTGAGCTGAAATTTGATGTGGTAGTAGCTGAGAGTTATTCATAACACAGACTCTGAGCGTGACACCCTGTAGCATGAGGCTGCACCTAATGTTACTGTCAAGACCTGACTGGCACACCTGCAGCTCTGCATCGTTTCAAACACAACCTTAGTTTACAACTTTGGCATTAAAGGCAGTGGGCGAACTTCCTTCAGTGAATGTCAGGCTTTTATGAAATGTTCTTAGTTTTCTGAGGTGAAAATATCAGAGGATGTGTGGGTGAACAGTCCAAATCTGTTGGAAGTGCCACAAGAACAGTGCAGCATCACGTGCACGTGTGCGTGTTAGAGAGAGAAAACAAGAAAGCAGGACATGGTTCCCATTCCTGAGGAAATTTCCAGGATTTATGTGGATGTGGTGATCTGAACAACGCAGAAAGAATAGTGGGGGATATGGACTCCTTGACCTTGTCTATTAAACATCTGTCTCCCATCTGGGCAGCATGTGTGTGTGTGTGTGTGTTCTCCAAGGCTCCAGTGTTGTTTGCTAACAAAATCAGCAAGCAGTTTTAGGAGGCAATTATTCTCAGACTTTACCCAGTGTTAATGCCTTACTCCTTACTAATTGCACAAAACGAAAGCCTCGTAACAGCGCCTTGGCTGAGCTCTCAGTTGTGCAACTTTACAGGTTTGTGTTTCCTCTGCCGAGCAACGTGGAGGAATCGGTATTTCAACACAAATTATCGAGCAAGGCTGCTGTCTTATCTCTAGTCAAATAAGACTTATTCATCTAAAACACAAGACAACAAAACAAACAAATAAATAAATAAAAACTGCAGCAAATTGTCAGGTTTGTCCCCCCCACCACCCCCACCCTCACTGATGTGTGAAACAGGACAGAAACTGCAATTTCCAGTTTAAAGTCAGCATTAGCACTCTCTTGTGGATAGAATTGGTACTGCAGCAGACCTTCTCAGATTAAAAGTGTCGCTTTGTGATTACTGTATTTAAAACATATTAGGAAGCTTGAACTTGTGCAGTCCTTCACATTTTTATGCATATTATTCATAAAACCATAGGAGATCAAAGTCATTTTTGAGCCAAAATCAGTGAAAAACATGTCTCTTCATAAACATTTCTGCCCCTTTGCTCTCTGTAAATGCGTCACGGCCACGTTGCAGGTTGCTCGTCTTGGATGACATGTTTGCGTTGCCATAGTTACAGCCTTTTACATCATCATCCCTCAGAAGAACAATGTACCCTTGGACATGATTACGAACCTGAAAGGGATTGTGAGAGAAAAACTGTGCAGATGATTGGTGACTTTTAGTTATCTCCGTCTTGCGAGGGGAAGGAGAGCAGTGATCCATCTGACCTGTGTGAGAGGTTACCCGGTGACGGTGCTGTGTATTGTAAGGGCTCCGTGTGTGTGTGTCAATGACTCATATATCTTGCGTCACACTGCCTACACGTTTCTCTGCTCCTCTGCCGATCCAAGTCAAGGTGCATTTATGTGTTTTAGTCAAGTGAGCGTGATCATTTTTGCATGTACAATGCATCATGGGAAACCGACTGAGCATCCACACACAGATGTATTTCAGAGCCTTCAACCTGCCCTCCGTCAGAACTTCTGGAAGCCATCGGCTGATGCAGTGGTTCCACTTCAAGCGAGTAATATTCTATTTCTGGAAAGTACAGTCATGGGTTTCCTGGGGAGGAGCCGCTCTCCGTGTTAAAGCCATTCATTCATATACATAACACACAGAGGATGACTTCTTCCATGACGCACAGCTTATACGTACATAGCATAATGTTTATGGAAGTGTAAAAATCTTTTGTACTTCTGTGTGGGAGCAAGGCATGAGGAGAATTAGAGGAAAACTGAAGAAGAAATAAAAAAATCTCACTTTATTTCTTGTTCAGATTGGCAGATGGAGCTGAACCTCGAAACAAAAAGAAAGAGTTTGGGGGTTAGAACACGGAACAGATAGGAACAGCTTATTTTTTATTCAAAACACAAATTAAAAACATAGTTCAGATCTCTGAAAGTGGCTTTTTGCAGAACGGTTTGAACAAAAAATATCCTACCTGTTGTAGATAGTTCTTTGAACAACCTCACTTTGGAAGAGTGATGGGCACAGTTATGCTAATCTGCTAACAGCTAATAGCTAAGCTAATTTTTCATGTACTGTACTTTTCGCTGTATAAGTCACACCTTTTTGCATAAATTAGCATGCCCTGCAACTTATCCAGTGAAGCAACTAATTATGTGTTTCCCCCCCATATTTATAAACCAAATTTTGGCTGAGATCTAATAATTTCATTCATTCTGACAAGGAAAATATTGAACACTACCATTTTCAGTCTCTAGAGGGTGATCAAGGGATGTGGCAAGCCAAGTGCCTCATTAATAGGTAAAAGTGGCTATTAATGAGACACTCGGCTTGCCATACCAAGCCACCTTTGTCTTGCTCCGGAACTCCTGGAGCAAACGTCAAATCAGCTGCATTTATATAATTTCCCTCTGGGATAAATAAAGTATTTTTTTAATTTAATTTCGCCGTGCTGCCCAGGTGAAATGCAACTGATTTGACCATTAAAGTGCATTTATTAAGGA